TAGTGAGACGAAGAGATTGATATATTGTACGCTCAAAACGGATAATGGGTGAATGACATATTGATTCTCAAAGTAGACCCATTGAGTTGGAAAAATGAAGGGAAAAAGTGAGCTTTGTCCCACATTGGTTTGGAATGAGGATTTTCCCCCCTTATATACAAGAGCTCTTTTGAAGCTTGTAGAATTGTATAGCATAGAGGCTCTCTCGCGTGAGGGGGGGGGGGGGGGGTGGGGGTTGCAAATCAAATTCCAACTAGACGAGATTGAAAAAGGCTTGATTCAAGCCCGAGCTCGTGTGCGCGAGCACGAATGTCGTCCGGAAATTGGCTGGCCTTGCGGGCTAAGTTATGCCAAACGGACGGGCATTTTTCCAACACGCCACTGAATTGTGTAGCATAGAGGCTGTCTCGCGCGGGGGGGGGGGGGGGGGGGGGGTGCAAATCAAATTCCAACTAGACGAGATTGAAAAAGGCTTGATTTAAGCCCGAGCTCATGTGCGCCGGCACTTGCGGGCACGAATGTCGTCCGGAAATTGGCTGGCCTTGCGGGCTAAGTTATGCCAAACGGACGGGCATTTTTTCAACACGCTACTGTGTAGCCGATGCTACACCTTGGTTTCGGCTTGTGGCCGAAACCAGTAAAGCATGCAGTTTCGGCTTTGGCCGAAACTGAAGTCTCGGCCTTGCGGGCCGAGACTTGAAAGGGCCCTATGGCCGAATCGGCTACACCTTGGTTTCGGCTTGTGGCCGAAACCAGTGAAGCATGCAGTTTCGGCCTCTGGCCGAAACTGAAGTCTTGGCCTCTGGCCGAAACTGAAGTCTCAGCCTTGCGGGCCGAGACTTGAAAGGGCCTATGGCAGAAACTTCCAGTTTCGGCCTACACGAACCTGTGCAGTTTTGTGACCGTTGGGTGTTCAATTCTACTGTTACGGAATTAATTTTTTGAGTTAATTCCAATTTTTAATTTTTGAATTGAAAGCCATGCTAATGGTTGCTGTTACAAGAAGGTGGAGGGGTGCCCTTAAGTGCCGAATTAAAAGCTATTAAATCCTTCACCCCTATGTAAAGAGGAGCTGGGCAGTAGAGTTTTACATACAGAAAATATAGAACACGAAAGTTCATCTTTTAGCCTCAAAACCTCTCTGCTGCTACTCCTTTAGCCTACTGTGTTCATAACCGTGTCTTGCTCGCCGGATTCCTTGTTTGAGTGCTCAAACATTAAATCACTTGCAAGTTTTATCCTGGGAAGCCTAGGCCACAACGCTCCCAGCATCTTTGGGAGGTGGCAAATAAGGTTTTAAGGAAAGAGTGCTCACTTGACTCTTGCAAAAACCCAACACCAAACACTAGCCAAATTCTCCATCTTTCCTTCCCTTGTTTTTCCAGAAAATAATAATCTTATTTATTCGATTATTATTTGTTTTTTCTACCAACGGTTCCTACACACCCACAAAAAAAATGGTGAAATTTTCTTTTACATTTTAGATATATAGTTGAAAAAGAGAGAGCGTGAAATTTGTTAAAAAATGAATCATTTTTTAGAAAATATATTATTTTTTGGTGTTCAGTAAAAAAATCATAAAATTATATTTTCATGTTTAATTTGATTTATTTCTAAAAAAAAAAAAAAAGACTAGAAATTTATTACAAGCTAGGTTACGTTATTTCTGTTATAATTTATTGTACTCGTTGGCCTGTTAACTCCTAGTCGTTGAACTTGTAGATGATATTGTGAAGATAAAATAAACAGAAAAATGTAAATATAGAGAACAGAGAGTAGAGGCAAGAATTTCCAAGAGAGCAATTTTATTCAGTCAATCCTTACAAATATATAATATAGCAATTAAAGGAAGAATTAATGGTTTTCAAAAAAAAAAAAAAAAAAAAGGAAGAGTTAATTCCTTTTGTTGGTCCTATACTTTTGGTGGCAAAGACAATTTTAGTCCTCCATAAAAGACTTGGACAATTTATGGACACATTTATTGTGACGAGGACAATTTTGGCCATCCGTTAGCATTCCCGTTAGATGGCCATTTGAGAAGAGGGTATTTGCGTCATTTCATGATATCTCCTTCTCTTTATTCCATCTCTTCTGTTTTGTTCTTCATTGCAGGGAGAAGGGTATTTTCACGAAGCATATTTCCTATTCAGCCTAACATAACATAAAATGATGAAAACTGATAGAATTGTATTAATTGAATGAATGTGATTACAAATATACAGATTACAGGTATATACACAAAGAGAGTCTTAGGGAGACTAGGATAGGGAATCATAATCTGACTCAAATACATAGAGTCCTAGTACTTCCCCTCGAGCGCATGGTACACTAGTGACCTGTAGTTTGTCTCTAAGAAAAGAAAATCTAGGACCAGGTATGGGCTTGGTAAAAATATCAGCAAGTTGATCTATGGTTGAGATAAAATAAACTTGTATATCTCTATTTGCAACTCTTCTCTAACAAAGTGATAATCAATGTAACACCCCTAATTTTGAGATATTTAAAACTTGTAAAATAAAGGTGAATTCATTGACTTAATTCCCAAATAGAGCATAATACTATCCATAAGAGTCGGGGGTGTTATGCCACACATAGGTTTGAGAACCTAGGTGCACAGGCTAAACTATTCAAACATAAGAAATCCTCAAATCAATATTCAATACAATCCCAAGGTACGCAGGCCAACTACTGAACTAAGACTGACTAAACTAAGCCAAGGCTCTGACTAGCGCGCTCCGAAGCTAAAGCTCATTACCTGAAAAACATTCGGTATAACAACCGTCAGCGAATAATGTTGGTAACCCACTCCAACGCGTTAAGTACAATATAGGTAGATATAAGAAACTCATTTTGAAACTGGAATACATATATACTTACGAGACTCTAGTTTAAATCCAAGATCAAGACTCAAGGCATATTAACAAACTCAATATCATGGAATAGTAATAAGAACTAACATGCGTCCTAAACATGCAATGCAAGACATAACAGGCAGATAATCATGCAAGTAACGAGTAGAGGCAACTAAGGCATTCAATACAACCAATTAACAAGTAGTCAACAAAGCACACAATTCATCCTCCAACCTTATACCAAGTTCCAACCGTATAACTCCCCTCCGTCCTTATATCAGTTCCAACCTATACCTCCAGGCCACCCTTATATCCCCACCCTTTATGCCTCCGGGCAACTACATGCTTCCACCAACGAACCCACCTTTCAACCACCAACATATCAAGATGGTGCCGCAGTGCCATTCAATGATCCGCACCTCTAGTGCCAATATCAAGGGGTTAGCGCATATAGCTCTAACATGACACCGCAACACTTATAACCTGACCCATGCTCAATGGCAAGCAAGTCTAAGGTGGGTGTGTGCCTTTAGCACAGTCACCGCTATGGCCTGTACCTTTAGTACAATGACCGGGCACAAGTGGTGCCAGCCGCTAACAGTTATTTTCCACCAATCACAATCTCATCATCATCATTATCATCATCAGTCACACTGGCCATTGCGCAATGACCACAATACTCATCATCATTAATCAATCAACGCATAAACACATAACAAGCAAGACACAATAACAACGACACGTATTACACATAAAATCCTAAAACAATGCCTAACAAACGAGACTCATACACGACAAACGGGGTACAAGGGGACACAATGGGATACGGGGAAACATCAAACGGGGAAAAACACCACGAACCACGCCGGGATTCCAGCGGGTAGGTGGCGGGTGGAGGACCACCCGCCAACCACCCGCCGGCGGCGGGATACTATTCCAGCGGGTGGCCGGCGGGCAGACCACCGCCCGCCGGCTGCCCGCTAGAATAGTAAATGCGGGAATCGGGTAGGTGGCGGGTGGTCAGTCTCCCCACCTACCCCCCACTGACACACAGGCAACTTTATGGTCCCAGGATCTCTCGTGGAACCCGAAACCATGTCCAAACACATTCAAACACATAACGACAACACCACGTATTCAAGTAACGGAATTAAACCAAGAATCACACCAAATATATCCTAACACGATTCCTAAACATGCCAAGACTTAACATAAATCACATAACGATCCAAGGACATCTGGAATCAGAAGAACATTAAGAAATCTATATGCAAGGTCCTAAACACAAGTCCTAGGCTAGGCTCAACACCCGATCATGCAAAATCCCACCCAAACATACCAAGAATAACATAATACGAAATCCACGTTATAAACCTAGGGCTCTAGACATAATCAAAATACAAGATCGTTCATATAATTAATCATAGTATCAAGAACATCAAGATTATCACATAAACATCAAGATTATCACATAAACACCAAGATTATCACATAAACACAATATGAACCCTAGGCAAAGCTCTATCAAGACTCAAGCACAGAATCGTATATCAAAGGAGCCAATGAATAAGATATAGCAAGGAAAATAGGTTTTGTCGAGACATGGTTTACCCTTTAGCCCTAATCAATATCCTCGGCTACTAAGGTTCTTCTCTAAGATCTTCTTTCTGTGGGTTCTCCTATGTTTGGTGGCAGTGTTTCTAAATGCTTCCTAAGTCCCTATATATAGATTTAGGAGTCCCAACTAGGGTCTGAATAATAGGGGTTCACTTATCCTATTTCTTATTGGGTTAAGGATTTGGTTTAAGGATAAGGGTCCATGATCCATTGTGGACCACTTAAGTTAATTAAGGGGATTATAATTGGATTAAGCCCCCTTTTAATTATTTTAATTGGCGGGACTAGTTTAATAATTAATTCGGATTTGAAGGTCGTAACACGGGGTGTTACAATCAATCTCCACATGTTTAGTACGAGCATGAAATATAGGATTTGCACACATGTATGTAGCACCAAGATTATCACACCACAAACAGACACACTAGTCATGTCAATCTCTCGCAGCAGGGATAAGATCCAAATCACTTCAGCACAGACATCTGTTACAGCTTTATATTCAGCCTCAGTAGAAGATCTAGCAACACTTCTTTATTTCTTACACACCCAAGACACAAGATTGGATCCAAGAAATATAGTATAACCACTAGTTGACTTACGGTCCTCAGGACAGCTAGCCCAATCAGAATCGGAAAAAGCATGCAACTCTCTAGACACTGACTTCCTTATGCGCAAACCATAAGTGATAGTTCCTTTGACATACCTCAGTACACGTTTCAATTGCTCCCAATGAGAAACCGTAAGAGCATGCATATGTTGATAGACCTGATTAACTGCAAAGGATAGATCCGGACGTGTGACAGTAAGATACTGTAAAGCTCCAGCCAAACTCCTATACTGTGTAGCATCATCATATAAATCTGCATTGAAGATAGTGGATTTTGAAACAGATATAGGAGTAGCTAAGGATTTACAGTATGTCATACAAACACATTTCAAAATATCTGTCATGTATCTTTGTTGAAAAAGTAAAATTCCAGCACCACACTTAAAAGTTTCAATTCCAAGAAAAAACCAGGTTCACCAAGATCCCTAATCTTGGAGATGTAGAAATTCTGCTCTTCGAGGGAAATTGGCCGACCAGCAAGGGTGAGGTCCTCGAACAAAACCTTCGCCCTTCCATTGTAGTCTACGATGGATGCATTCCTTGTTGAAACGACTGAAGCTGTCTGAGGAGATTCAAGGAGCGAGACCGGGAAGACGAAGCAAATGAGTTAACAATGGCGTCCAACACTCTCCGGCTGGTGTGGTGACTGATCGCCAAGGGCATCACCTCATCCGATAATGAAGACATGATCATGGATAGGAGGACCTGACCTAGTCGAATCCAAACTGCATGGGCGGGATTTGGCTACGCTGGTGTACCATCTTTGCCGGAGAGAAAGGCTGGTGGACACGGGTTCGTTCCATCAATGAATCCCATTAGTTCATGACCACGAAGAAACGGAACAACCTGGGATCTCCAACACAAGAATTTCTTGTAGGTCAGTTTGATACTGATAAATTGGTGGGCGGTGGCCAATGAATTCACGATCGAGGTGACCGAGGAAATAGCGACATTCGAGACGGCCCGTTCCGATGATGCAACAGATCTGCCAGCCATGCGAAAGAAACCCTAGTGTAAGTGTACAAATGATACACATTAAAACCCTTTTTGTGTTGGCTAATTTAATTGACAAAATAATTAGAAGTTAATTTGGAATTAATCTATGGACCATGGACCGTCTCCTATCAAAAAGGGTATTTTTATTATAGCAAAATTTAAATTCCAGTGAAGAGCAAAGTTAAATTCCAGTGAAGGGCTTTTCGAAATTGGAAGATTATTCTAATTATGGAATTGGTTGGTAATTAAGCATGGGAAATCAACATGTGTTTATGATTGATTCAAAGCTATGTTAAAGTATGGAATTATTAATACATGGCAGAGAATGAATAGAGGCATATGGATTTGCTACAGATTTGGCAAAAATTGTTGGGAAATCAATTATATAAAGGAGGGAGACATTGGCTTGAATAGACGAATTACTACGCTAATATTATAAGAGAAGTTTCCAGGTTAATTCTTTATCAAATCACTTTATTCTATTACTATGGAGTATTGATCAAGCTGGATCAAGTTGACGGCATCAGGTTCAACAGTTTGAGTTTGCAACATTGAAGAAATCGGCATGCACTCACCTCTCTTGTATTAGATGTTGGGAAGATTATAGTTGGTTGTTGTGGTTGTGGCCTTGTTGTATTCAAACCCCTTTGTAATCTTGGTGAACATCTAGTGGATTGGGCTGACGTGAGTTGCCTCGCAGACGTAGGAGAAGTGCTTCGAACTGCGTGATCATATCTTTGTGTTCCTGGTTTTTATTTCTTACCTTTTAATTCTTTATGTTTATCGTATTAGCATAAACTAACACAATTAAAATGGTACGTTAATTGATTAATTAAAAACCAAATAGAACTTTAATTCTAAACTTGCATTCAAGACTCGCGGCACTTTATCAATTGGTATCAGAGCCTGCAGACTTAAATTATTAGTCTGTCGATCTGGCTATTCCGTGCCTCTTGAACTCAAGCTTTCAGCGGCTGTTATTGCTTTTCTTTATTCTGTTAATTTGTTCAATCTCACGGGTTGTTGAGTGTTACAAAATGGATCGTGTTAAGGTTCTTCCCTAGCTAATCGGCGACAACTACGCTTATTGGAAAGCTCGCACACGTACACATCTAAAAGCTCAAGGTGATGCAGTATGGCGGTCCGTGGTGACAGGTTGGACTCATCCGACTAACGCCAGTACCAGTGATGATGGAACGCGTGTAACTAGACCTGAAACTGAATGGTCCCAAACTGAAATAACTAATGCTGGAAACAATGATAAAGCTTTAGATACTATTTACTCTCTTATCCATGAAAGTCAATTTCCTATAGTTGCAGGCTATGATTCAGCTAAAGGTGCGTGGGAAGCCCTTGAGTCAACTTACGAAGGCACGACGTCTGTAAAACAATCGAAGCTGCAACTGGTAAGTCCGAATTTGAAGAACTCCGGATGAGTGAGGATGAAACCATCACAAATTTCCACACACGCGTCCAAGAACTGGCAAATCATGCGATGGTTCTCGGTGAACCTTCCCCCCAAGAAAAACTTGTTAAAAAAAATTCTGAGAATGTTACCACCAAGGTTCAGAATGAAAGTTACGGCCATACAAGAACATGGCGGCTGGGAGAACAAAACGGTTACTCAGTTAATGGAAAATCTTCGAACCTACGAAATGGAAATTTTAACTGATCACACGAAAATGAAAAAAACAAAAAAATGTAGCTTTTGCCGCTGAAGGAAATAATGTTATATCTGATTCAGATGAACCAGGTGATGATACAATTGTTTTTTTGACTAAACAATTTTCTAAAATTTTGAAACAGCTATCAAATAATTCACGCAACAAAAATCCACAAAGAGGAACAATGTCATCCAAAGCTGGTCCTAGGACAGTCTCGTCAAACTTCAAACAGTCTGTCTCATGTCCCGGGCAGTCCAAATAAAAATCTAACAATAAAGGAATCAAGTTCTATGAGTGTGAAGGCTTTGGACATGTACAAGCGGAGTGTCCCACCTATCTTAGACGCAAAAAGTCTATGTCAGCCATTACATGGAGTGACGACGAGCCTGACGTTGAAACAACTGGATCTGATGTAGAAGAAATCTCGGGTAACTTCGTTGCGTTTACTGGACGTGTTGCAGCATGCTCTGAACTTGAAGACGTAGCTGACTCGGAGGGAGGAGAATATGTCTCCGCGGAAGATTTAGAGTTAAATGCTTTATCTTTTGAAGTTGAGTTCAATAAGTTGTATCCTAAATGGGAATCCCTAAGAAAAGAAAATCGCAAATTAACTAGTGAGATAGGAATTGTAGTGAATACTAGTAAAGTATACCAAAATCAAGTAGCCGATAGGGATGTACTTCTTAAAGAGGCATCTGACCGATAAGAGAGACTGAAACAGGAGGTACATACCCTGAAGCAGGAGCTAAGCACCTATAAAAGGCAAATCCAAATGATGGACACAACTTCAACACTTGACCAAATACTTTATTCAGGAAGAAAATCCTCTACAAAATTTGGTCTGGGTTTCACCGGGGGTACATCAAAGGACAAAACGGTGTATGTCAAAGCGTTAGGACCTGATCTAGTGGACGCTTCAAAAGGTAAAACACTTTTCGTCAAAGCATCTGGACCTGATCCAGTGGACGTCCCTGAATCCAGTTCAGCGAGACAAAACAATCGTATAGTGCGATGAAACAAGCAATTTTATAAACTCTATAACCCTGTGTGTCATTATTGCAGGTTGAGGTTGCGCGGTCATACCAGGCCCGAATGCTACTACTTCTACAAGGATCAAAGAATTGAGAAGTTCTGGCACAAGAACATCCGAGCATTTACGAAACAGATTTGGGTTAAAAAGACTGACTACATTTCTTTTGCCTCTTTTCACTCTAAAAGTGCAGGAGGAGAAGAGAAGTTGTATTTTGACAGCGGTTGTTCCCATCATATGACAAGAAATGCCAAATTTCTAAGTAACGTAAATACAAGCAAAGGAGAAGTTACCTTTGGTGACGATATTAAAGGCCAAGTCACGGGCATAAGCACTCTAAATGTGACTGGCCTACCCAAGTTAGAAAAAGTACTACTTGTAAATGGTCTTTGTGCAAATCTCATAAGTATAAGCTAACTCTGCGACTAAAATTGGAACGTGTCCTTCACAAAAAATACCTGCAGTGTCCTGGACAACGCAAATCAATGCGTTATGGAAGGTAAGAGGTCAATTGACAATTGCTACACTCTGACCAACAAGTTTTTTTTCTACAGGTCTAGTATTGATGAAGTTGAGTTAGGACATCAAAAACTGGGACATCTAAGCTATAGCTTAGGCAATTTCTAAGGCGTCTACAACCCATTCGAAATCTTCACCACAAAATCACAAAGGCTTGCACTAATTAGAAAAATCATTATTGTTGAATCTCCTCTTCTCACTGAGGCCGATGATCGGGTTCTAGCCTCCATCATGCAAAATCCGGCACTCCTAGGGGGACTCACGGCCAAAGAATCATGTCAACTCCAAGCCCTTGCCGAAACATCATCGCCGAACCATGGCTAGTACTCACGGAGAACGTTGCTGACGAAGTGGAGAGAGCCGAGGCTGAAATTTCTCCTTCAACAAATCGGATATCATCCTTGCCTTTTTCTCTAGAGGGTACTCACTCTCTACCCACATCTAGGAATTTGGATATGTCTATGTCTATTCTTGAGCAATTTACTTCATTTATGAATTCTTCATCTGTGTGTTTTCTCTCTTTACCCATCCCTAGTGATTTGTATGATCTTGCTTCACTCATTTTACCTACTTCTATTGTATCTTATTCTGTTCTACCTGCAAATCTGCCTAATGTGCTTTTTTTTTTTGTTGCTTTGTCTATTTTTACACAATCTGTGCCATTCGACTTTACCGTTGGAAATGTTGTCCAATGTGTTGGTATGCCTCATGTACCTGTGACTTGCTCTGCTTTAGCATTTCGTGTCAGTTTCTTCTCCTCTGTTACTATGTGAATGTGCTTTTATTGGTCCGGTCATGACCATATCTGTGTTTGCTTGTGTGCTTATTATGCTATCTGTTATCAATTCTTGCCTGAAGTTGCTTTATTTGCATTTGTGACTGAATATGCATTACTTGATTGTGCTTACTGTCTTATTTACCAATCTGTCTTTTTAGTGACCCAATTGTGTGCTTTTTGTGTTATTTGCTATGAATTTGTGCTTGAATGTGTTTATTACTTGGTATGTTTTATCTAATTAATTTGCTCCAACTTGACTTTTGTGTCTATATGTGCTTATGTGTTACTTGCTTCGTTGTTATCAAGTTCTGCGTTTCTCGTTTTTAATTTTCTTGTGCAGGTTCAATCCAATCGGGCACTCCGTCAGACTCAGTCCAGTACTATAGATGTTCACCTTTGTTAATTATTGGCAAAAAGGGGGAGTATATAATAAGGGGGAGTATGGTTGGAGTAATAGGGAGTTAATAACTAATTTGCATTATTCTGGTATGATGGTATGTTTCTGAATATTGCATTATTTTGGTTCATGGAGTATGTTTTGGAAATTGGTCTTGGTAGCTTTATGAGTTGATTAATGCAGTGATTATGGATATGTGGTATGTTGGTATATTCTTTGGTTTCACGTGACTATGTTTGGGATTATTGGAAATTGCTTTTGGTAAGATGAGTTGACAATTCTTGAGCAATTGAAATTAATATAGATGTTTGAATTCGGTAACGTTGAAACAGACGTTGTGACACAAATATTTATAACGCAGTTTCGAGCAAGCAGCCCTAATCTGCGAGGCACTTCTCAAATTGAGAATTTGCCTAAATCCACTAAAAGCTCAATATTTAAAGTGCACTTTGTTTAGGGAACGGGGATTACACAATATGATTTCCTATCAAGCTATTGAGACCTAAACACTTGTACTACTTTTCAAGGGGATTTTGGTATCTCTCTCAATGACTCTCGTGCTCACGATTAGGTGCTGAAAGCGTGATCTTTGTGATTGAGAGTGGCTGCCTTTTATAGGACAAGAGATGACTTAGTTTGAATATGAATAGATTTATTAGTCCTATTCATATTTGGACTATGATATCTACTGGAATTAGGAGTCAGGTTTTTGCGCCCAATAGTTGACAATTCTTTTGAGGTCAACAATCTCCCCCTTTGTCAAACTTTTTCAAAAACCTTGGTTTGTTGGAAGGTCTTGATTCCTGGTGTGACCCCCCCTTAGTTTGGGGAGGAATGTGATGATCTTTTGATGAGTAGTCTCCCCCTTGATTCAATCTTTGCTTCAGCTGTTGTTCTTTGACTTGTGTAGTTATAGCATAATAAAATGTGCTGGCAAGGAAATAAGTCTATTCCTTTTGTCAGTATCTTTCCACATGGTAGCAATAAAGAATAAGGCCAGCCTAGATCATTTTTATCCTCAAAAGACAAGCTGCCAAAAAAAAAAGAAAGAGAACTGCCAAACTGCCTCTTGAAAACAGAAACTGCCAAACAGTCTGGGTTTACATGTCCCATACACATTACAGATTATTCAATTCAGATCATCCAAAAGATATCAAAAATACCATACCATCTATTATGAGACAGATAAAAAAAGAGATCATAACATCCACCTTGAAGCTGATCCATTTTGAGACAGATTCTTCCCAAACAAAAATGGCCAAGGGAAATCATACTATTTATCTTGAAGATATCTTATCAAAACTATACCATCCATCTTGAAGAATGTCTTACCAGGACATCAGATCATAGACAGATTCTTCCCAAACAAAAATAGCCAAGAGAAATCATACCACATCAGATCATAGACAGATTCTTCCCAAACAAAAATAGCCAAGAGAAATCATACCATTTATCTTGGAGCATATCTTACCAAAATCATACCCTCTTGAAGATGTCTTACCAGGACATCAGATCATATAAGGTACTAACTCTCCCCCTTTTTTGCTAAATGTTTGAAGATGTTTTAGGTGGAGTTTTCACTACTTTCAGCTTCAGGTTCTTGATCATCTTCTTCTTCATTTCTTCCACTACTCTCAGCTTCAGGTTCCTGATCACCATTTTCTTCATTTTCTTGATCTTTTTCTGGTTCTTGATCATCTTCTTCTTCATTACTTTCTAATTTCAGGGCTTTCAGCCATTGTTGTACTTCAGTTTTCTCCTCTTTGATTTCCATCTGTTTCCTCAATACATGTTTCTCAGAAGCCTCTAGTTCAGACAATCTTTTCTCAAAGTAGTTAATTAGAGTCTGCTAATCTGTTGGTTTGTCTTTTGGACCTAGGGTTTTGAGATCATTTTGGTGCCCCCCGTTGGTCAATTTAATGGTTGTGTTGAGGATTTTTACTTGAGACTTTGGCTTGTGAATCTTGAGTCCTTGTTTTGCTAGAACAGAACAGATGAGGTCTGGAAATATAAGGCAAGCTTTGGTTCCTTTGTTTTCTGCTAGGTTTGTGACCTGTGTGTAGATGAGATTGCCAAGGTCAACTTTGATCCCTTTTCCAATCTTGTATAGTAGGTCTGCTAGGCTTCTTTTGAGTGTTGACTCATGTAATGAGGGCATCCAATTTGCCAGTGCGATTTTCTGTAGTACAGCATACTTACTGGTTAATGATGCAGCTTTAATTTTGTTTTTCTCCAGATTCACATTCCCTGCTGTGAGTTCTTGAATGACTTCATCATTTGTAAGAAGTATTCTTTCCTCCCCTTCAGTGGTGTTGATGATATCCGGATTAAACTCATAGTATTTTCCCCTTAGGTATATTTTTCCATACATTGGACTTGTGGAGATGGTGATGTCTTTGGTTAGGTTACTATAAAATTCTTGAACAACTTGTTCATCATAGGCTTCTATGTTTGTGACAGAACCAAGTAGGTGATTTTTTGTCAAGGTTTCTCGGATTTGATCATGTTTGTTCAGTTTATCTACCAACACTAATTTTTGACTGAGGATCTTTCTTTCAACAACTTTGCCCCATAGTTTTGTTGATTGTTGGCTCAAAAATTTTGTGCTGTGTGGTTTTGGTAGGATAGACTTATCTTCTGCTGGTGATACCTTTTCTTTGCCTTTTTTCTTTTGTTTTCCTTTTCTAGTAGGTTTTTCCTTTTCTTGAACCAAATTTTCAGCATCATTATTTGGGTGTTCTTCCGAAGCCCAGCTCAGATCTTCCTCTAATTCTCTTCCCTTTTTGGTTGTTACTTTGGAATTTTGTAATCTTGGGAGGGGATTAGTGGGTTTTCGTTGTGGAGGCCCGGCCCTGATTGGGAAGTCATCTGGCCGTTTGGCTCTAGGATCACCTCCTTCATATGGGTCTGTCCTTTTTCGTTTCCTTTTGGTGGGTTCTAAACTGTGTGCTACCTCTGTTTCGTGGTTGTGACCTGATGACCTGTTTAGGTCTTTTTCAGGGATGTCGAGAGGAGACGGACACGGTTCTTGACCGTGACCTAGAGCATCGGTGTTTGATTCAGGGCTTTTCCCAGAATTGGGCACCTGACCTAGGGTTTCTCCAAATAGATCAATAGTGAGTTCCGGATTACCTGTAGGTGCAGATTGATGTTCTTGAATGGTCTGGAATGGCACTTGTGAGATGGGAACGGGATCCATGACGATTCTTGAGGTGTCGTCATCGTCGATGTGGACTAGGTTAGAGAGCATTCCAGTGCCGGGAAAGTGTGGTGCAGGGCCTCTTCGAGGTAATTTTCCTTTTGCTTGGTTTCGTGTTCTCACCATGGCTAATCTTGTGTGGAGCTTTGATGATAGTGGTAGGATTGATCGTAAGGTAGAAGACGACTCTGTTATGAGCCCAAAAAAAATTGGTGGATCGGGTTATGGAACTTAGAAGAACAAGTCTAAAGATTTATGGGCCGCTAGCTGTTCTCATATTATGGGCCGCAAGCTGTTCTCATATACGGCCCACCCCTTCCCCTTCTTATTGTAAGTGGCATAATCCGATTTCGGTCCTCAATTTTACAAATCTGTTTCCGTCAAGAGCTTTTGTTAGGATATCTGCTAGTTGTTTTTCTGTACTGATATGCATGAGATTGATGATTTTATCTTCTACTAGCTCCCTTATAAAATGATGCCTGATGTCGATGTGTTTTGTTCTTGAGTGTTGTACTGGATTTTTGGAGATATCTATTGCACTTTTGTTATCGCAGTGTATGGTCATAGTTGTTTGATGTATTCCATAGTCTTCTAGAATTTGTTTCATCCAGAGTAGTTGTGTGCAACAACTTCCAGCTGCAATGTATTCTGCCTCTGCTGTTGATAATGATATAGAACTTTGTTTTTTGCTTGTCCAAGATACAGGATTTGTTCCTAGGAAGAAACAACCTCCTGAGGTGCTTTTTCTGTCATCTATGTTTCCTGCCCAATCGGCATCGCAATAGGCTGATAGGTGATGATTGGTATCGAAAGAATACCATATTCCTAATTCGGTAGTTCCTTTAACATATTTACTGCTTTTAAATGTTATTCTGTAGGATTTGCTTGATATCTTGCACATATTCCTACTCCAAAGCTTAGATCTGGTCTACTAGCAGTTAGATATACTAGTCCTCCTATCATACTTCGATATAGGGTTTGCTCAACTTGTTTCCCCTCTATATCTTTTGTGATTCTTTCAGTTGTTGGAGCAGGTGTTCTGACAACTTTGCTTTCTTCTAGTCCGAACCTCTTAACTAGATTTTTTGCATATTTGCTTTGTGATATGAAGATCCCACTGTCTTGCTGTTTGATTTGTAGACCTAGAAAGTAGGTTAGTTCTCCAACCATGCTCATCTCAAATTCTCCTTCAATATTAGTGATGAACTGATTTTTGTGAACCTCAAGTGTTGATCCAAATACTATGTCATCAACATAGATTTGGGCAATAACTATGTCTTGATCATAGTGTTTGACGAATAGGGTTTTGTCCACACTACCTCTTTTGTACCCCTTTTTGACTAGAAACTCAGTGAGCCGCTCGTACCACGCCCGTGGTGCTTGTTTTAGTCCATATAGTGCCTTGTTGAGTTTATAAACACTTTGTGGAAAATGGGGGTCTTCAAACCCTTTTGGTTGGGCAACATAGACCTCTTCTTTTAGATATCCATTTAGAAATGCCGTTTTCACGTCCATTTGGTAGAGTTTTATCTTGAGAATGCAGGCTACTGCTATGAGGAGCCGAATTGATTCAATTCTGGCCACTGGAGCAAATGTTTCTTCAAAATCTGTCCCTTCAACTTGGGTGTATCCTTGTGCTACTAGTCAGGCTTTGTTTCGTATAATGTTCCCTTGTTCGTCTGTTTTATTTTTGTAGATCCATTTCGTCCCTATGATATTGGCATTCTCTGGTTTAGTGACTAATTGCCAAACGTTGTTTCTTTCAAACTGTTGTAATTCCTCGTGCATGGCCCCCATCCAAAATTCATCTTTTAATGCTTCCGTGATATTTTTGGGTTCAATTTTTGAGGTGTAACAGTAGTCATAGTCTCCTTCTTCCATTTTTTGATAGTCTCGTTTCTTTCCTCTAGTTCTGATTCCTTCATTCAGTCCTCCTATAATGTTTTCTATTGGATGATTTTTCTGTACCCTGGTCTCATCAGTGGTGACGATTTCCTCAATTTCCTTAGGATCTTCAGCTTCTTCTTTCTCTGTTATTTCTGTTTCAGTCTTTTGATTCTGTGATGTTGGAACTGTTATTTCAACAACAGATATCTCTTCATCACTGTTGGGAGGGTTCTCTGATGTTGTGTCATTGACCACAACATTTATAGATTCCATGACAGTATTTGTTCTAAGGTTGTATACTCGATATGCCCTGCTGTTCGAGGAGTAACCTAGAAAGATCCCTTCATCTCCTTTGACGTCAAATTTTCCCAATGGTTCTCTATCCTTTAGAATATAGCATTTGCTTCCAAACACATGTGTGTGTTTTAAATTTGGTGTTTTTCCTTTCCAGATTTGATATGGTGTCATGTTGATTTCTTTTCGAATGAAGACTCGGTTTATTAGGTAGCAGGCTGTATTAACTGCTTCTGCCCAGAATTTTGATGGAAGTCTCTTGTGATTCAAAAGAACCCTTGCCATTTCTTGAATAGTTCGATTTTTTCGTTCGACTACTCCATTTTGTTGGGGTGTCTTTGGTGCAGAGAACTCATGGTGAATCCCATTTTCTGTGCAGTATTCTTTGAATTTTGAATTTTCGAACTCCCTTCCATGATCACTTCTTAGACGAATGATTTTTCCTATTCTTTCATCCTTTTCATTCTGGATTTTGACAACAAGAGTTTTGAATATTGTGAATGCTTCAGATTTTTCTCTAAGAAAGTTTACCCATGTGAATCGTGAATAGTCATCAACTGTTACATAGACATATCTCTTTCCTCCTATGCTTTCAGTCTGAGTTGGTCCAAACAAGTCCATGTGAAGTAGTTCTAGGATTCTAGAAGTGTGTATTCCTGAGGTCTTCTTATGGGTTGTTCGGGTTATTTTGTTTTCAAGGCATGCATCACATTTTTTGTTTTCATCTATGTCAAGTGTTGGAACTCCTCGATAGACTCCCTTCTTTAAACCCTTTTTCATGTCATGAAAGTTTATGTGACCCATCCGTTGGTGCCATAATTGTGTTTGATTGATGGTTGTCTGTAGGCAAGATAGATCACCGTCCCATGTGTAGCATTTATTCGTGGATTTTCTTCCGATCATAACACATTCATGATTTTGATTGAGAACATTGCAATTATCTTTTGAGAATTCTACTTTAAGTTCATCTTCACATAGTTGACTTATACTAATCAGGTTTGCTTTTAACCCTTGTACTAAGAAGACTTTTGACAATTTTGGAAGTCCATGTACATTCAGGGTTCCATTTGCAACAATTTTTCCTTTTCCTCCATCTCCAAAGGTAACATATCCTTCATCTTTATAGTGTATGTTCTCTAAATTTTCTGGATTTCCAGTCATATGCCTGGAACATCCGCTGTCAAAATACCATATATCTTGCTCCTTGTTTGTTTTGGAGGTGTATGCAACATTTTGGTCTTTTCTTACCCAGACTTTCTTGCTATTATTTCTGTTGTGTGGTGGCCATACTCTGTTGTTTTGTCTGTAGTAATAATCATTCTGTCTTTTTGTAGCAATGTGCTTTGATGTGTCCTAGTTTGTGACAATAGTAGCACCTTATTCTTCTTCGATGTCGGAAGTGCTGTTGCGACACTTCCTGTATTTCAGATTGGTTATTCTCACTGGTGTCCGTGCCTGGAGTTCTGGGCCTTTCTGTAAGTTCCTTAATTTCTTGTAGCAGCTTAGTTTCTCTATTCTTAAAGTCTAGTAGTTCGTTCTGGGCTTCTTTGTATTGTTTCTCTATTCGTTCTTTTTCATTCTTCAAATAGTGATTATCTTCCACGAGTTCCAAATTTTTCTTGATGATTTGCTCCCATTTGGCATTTAGTTGAGTGTATGCCTCTAGTAACTCTTGCTTGTTATCACTATTGTTGTCTTCATGGCTAGCAGTGAAAGCTACAAAGTTTGTGTTGTTGTCATCTTCTTCACTATCTGAGTCATCGCTCAGAGTTGTTATATATGTTTTATTTTTCGTTTTCAAGTATGTGGCACATTCTGATTGAATGTGTCCAAAGCCTTTGCATTCATAGCATTGTATTCCTTCAGTAATTGTATTATCTCTTCTCTTTGGATTAAATGGTTTTTGATTTGTAGAATTTATTTGGTTGTTTGAGATATTTTTATTCCTGGACTTGTTAAACTTCTTGAGAACTTGGTTAAAATTCTTCGTTAGTAGTGCAATTGACTGTTCCATGGTTTCTGAATCAGTTTCTGAGTTCTCTTCTTGTCTGGACTGTAATGCTATTCCTTTACCATTGTTTTTCTGACCTTGTAGCATCTCAAGTTCATAGGTTTGAAGATTTCCTATTAGGTCACTTAGTCTGTATGTATTCAGATCTTTATGTTCTTGAATAGCGCACTACAAGAAAAATCGCGTATTGCGACGGACAATGTTCCGTCGCAATATAGCGATGGATATCGCGACGGAATAATTTCCGTTGCAATTTAACAACGGAATTCGCGACGGAAATTAATTCCGTCGCGCTGTTTGGCGCAAAGAGAAAATAAAACCCGGGAAAGTTTGGCGGTAAATTATTACGACCGAATTTGCGATGGGATTAAACTCCGTCGTCTAGTTCGCGACGGAATAGCGACCGATATTATTTCCGTCGCAATTAACGACCGAAATGGCGACATAATTTTTTGCGTCGTGAAAAAAATAATTTGTGATGTTTTGACTAAATGTTGCGACGGAATTAACGACCGAATTAATTCCGTCGCAATATGTTTTTAAAAAAAATTATTCTTTTATATATTATCTATATAAGCGGTGTCGTTTTCAAAGTCAGATTAAAAATCAAATAAAATCAAATATATTAAGAAGGAAAATAAAAACCCTAATTTAAGTTGCCTCATCAACGCAGATAGACCAAGACCACCGTTTTACTCCGTCTACGCAGAACGACCATCGCAGAACGCCGTCGCACTCCGTCGCCGTCGCCGTCGCAGCAGGGCGCCGTCGACCTCCTCCGTCTGGTAATTCATCTCGTAATATTTCA